TGATTGATCAGTTAAATGTGAGATTACCTTTTGTAGAAGCTTGTGCTATGATTCCTGCTTTAAGAAAATACATGAAGGGTATTCTAACAAATTCTTTAACTCTTGAAGAAGGCGTTATAATGATAACCCATGAATGTAGTTCTATCCTGAAAAGCCGAATCCCTGAAAAGAAAAACGATCCTGGAAGCTTTGTACTTTCATGCACCATCAATGATGTAGCTTTTGAGCGTGCTCTCTGTGATTTAGGATCTAGCATAAACATGATGCCTCTTTCTGTAGCAAAACGTTTAGGACACCACACTGTCCAGCCTACTAAAATCTCCTTAGTATTAGCTGATCGTTCTGTTAGACAACCTGTAGGTATCCTAATAAATGTTCCTGTATAAATCGAAAAATGTTCCATACCCACCGATTTCGTAGTTCTAGAACTAGAAAGAGAACCTAAGGATCCACTTATTCTGGGACGACCATTCCTATCTACAGCCGGAGCCATAATCAATGTTCCTGAAGGAAAAATTGACCTTCATCTAGCCGGTCTAGTTATGCAATTTGACATGAACAAAAGTTTCGATAAACCAACTTTGGATGGCAAAATTTGTTGGGTTGATGAGTTAGACGGAAATTTGAGGAAGTCTATGAAGATCTGCTTCTAGACGACCCTTTAAGTGTCACGCTTTCACCCGCAAAAGATGAACGCAATTTCCTTGAAGAAATTTCGAGTGAATGCGCGTGTATGCTTGATAAATCTGAAACTTATAGGAAACCTCTACACTATCTAGATCTTAAGGACCAAACAAACATTCCAACACCTCCTAAAGACACTGCTGCAGCAATTAACGATCCTTGGAGTGAGCTTAAAGCCCCTAAAGTCGAGCTTAAACCTCTTCTCGTCGGACTTAAGTACGCCTTCCTTGGACCAAATTCTAATTATCCTGTCAAAATAAACTCTGGTTTGACGGAAGAAGAAACCACAATGCTGTTGACTGACCTGAGAAAGCATAGAAAAGCCTTAGGATATTCACTTGATGACATACCTGGAATCTCTCCAGATCTTTGTATGCACAAGATAAATCTAGAGGATAATGCTAAAAACTCAATCGAAAGTCAAAGGAGACTGAACCCTAATCTAATGGATGTTGTCAAGAAGGAGATTATGAAGCTTTTAGAAGCTGGAATAATCTTTCCTATCTCAGATAGCACTTGGGTTAGCCCAGTTCATGTTGTCCCAAAGAAAGGAGGAGTCACTGTCATTAAAAATGATAAAGATGAAATGATCGCTACAAGAACAGTAACTGGACATCGTATGTGTATCGATTACCGGAAACTGAATGCAGCAACTAGGAAAGATCATTTTCCACTTCCATTCATAGATCAAATGCTAGAAAGGTTAGCTAATCATCCCTATTATTGCTTCCTTGATGGATACTCCGGATTTTTCCAAATTCCTATTCGCCTGGAGGATCAAGAAAAAACGACATTCGCTTGTCCATATGGCACGTTCGCCTTACAGACGTATGCTTTTTGGATTGTGTAATGCACCTGCTACCTTCCAGCGGTGCATGATGTCGATCTTTACAGATTTTATTGAGGATTTCATGGAAGTATTCATTGACGACTTCTCTGCCTATGGATCTTCTTTTGAAAAATGCCTAGGCAACCTTGGTAAAGTTCTGCAAAGATGTGAAGATAAGCACTTAGTATTAAATTGGGAAAAATGTCACTTCATGGTACGAGACGGAATCGTGCTTGGGCACAGAATTTCGAGAAAAGGAATTGAAGTTGACTAAGTTAAAATCGAGGTCATGACCAGCCTACAACCACCCACAAACGTAAAAGGAATTCGTAGTTTCTTAGGACACGCAGGATTCTATAGGCGCTTCATAAAAGATTTTTCTCAAATAGCTAGACATCTTACGCGTTTGCTTTGCAAGGAAACGAACTTCGAGTTCGATGATGAGTGCTTAGACAAACAAGCTCTTGTCTCCGCCCCTGTCGTGCAAGCACCTGATTGGGAACTCCCATTCGAAATCATGTGCGATGCAAGTGACTATGCAGTCGGAGCAGTGCTTGGCCAACGAAAAGATAAGAAACTGCACGTTATTTACTACGCAAGCAGAACTATAGAAGAAGCTCAATGCAATTATGCTACAACAGAGAAAGAACTTCTAGCAGTCGTATTTGCATTTGAGAAATTCCATTCTTATCTCGTATGATCTAAGGTCATAGTTCATACTGATCATGCTGCAATCAAGTATTTAATGTCTAAGAAAGACGCTAAACCTCGGTTGATAAGATGGATCCTCTTACTGCAAGAATTCGATATCGAAATTCGAGATCGGAAAGGAGCAGATAATGGAGTTGCAGACCATCTTTCACGAATTCGAGTTGAAGAAAGATTGCCCTTAAATGACAGTTTGCCAGAAGAAAACATCTATGCTATAGATACAACCACCACCCATTCCAGTACCGCACCACCACGTCCACTAATGCGAAGAGCAGATGCTTTCAACACCCCATGGTTTAGGCACATAGCAAATTACCTAGCAGCTGATGTAGAACCACCACATTTCTTTGGGTATAGGAAGAAAAAGTTTCTGAAAGACGTAAGACATTATTTTTGGGATGAACCTTATCTCTATAAGAGATGTGCTGATGGGTTATTCCGAAGATGCGTGGCTGAAGAAGAGATGGAAGGAATTTTATTTGGATGCCATAGCTTGTCTTACGCAGGACACTTTGCGACTTTCAAAACCACTTCAAAGATCTTACAAGCTGGTTTTTGGTGGCCTACTTTGTTCAAAGATACTCAAGATTATATATCGCGATGCGATAAATGCCAAAGGATGGGCAACATAAGTAAAAGGAATGAGATGCCTCAAAATTTTATTCTCGAAGTCGAAATTTTTGATGTCTGGGGAATAGATTTTATGGGACCCTTTCCTACTTCTTTTGGAAACCAATACATCTTGGTAGCAGTAGACTACGTCTCTAAGTGGGTTGAAGCAGTCGCTAGCCCCACCAATGATGCGAAAGTTGTCATGAAGCTGTTTAAATCTGTTATATTCCCGCGTTTTGGAGTTCCTAGAATTGTGATTAGCGACGGAGGATCACATTTCATCAACAGAGTTTTTTGAAAATCTTCTTAGAAAGAATGGAGTTACACATAAAGTTGCTTCTCCATACCATCCCCAAACCAGCGGTCAAGTAGAGATCTCAAACAGAGAAATCAAGTCGATTTTGCAGAAAACTACTGCAGTTCATCGCAAGGATGTCAACCAAGCTTGACGACGCATTATAGGCATATCGAACAGCATTCAAGACGCCATTAGGAACAACACCATTCAATCTAGTTTATAGAAAAGCATGTCACCTTCCAATAGAACTCGAGTATAAGGCGCAATGGGCTATTAAGGAGATGAACATGAATCTGAAAACAGCTGGAGAAAGAAGACTACTTCAACTTCATGAGTTAGAAGAAATCCGACACAATGCTTACGAAAACTCGAAGATCTACAAGAAGAAGACTAAAGCATATCATGATAAGAAGATCATTCATAGAACTTTTGCTCCTAACGATAAGGTACTTCTTTTCAATTCTCATCTTAAGCTTTTTCCAGGAAAATTATGTTCAAGATGGTCAGGACCCTTCACGATAAAGGAAGTCAAGCCATATGGAGCCATAGTCCTGTGGGACAGAACCGGAAACTCATTCACAGTGAATGGACTACGTGTAAAGCCATATCTGGCTGAAGAAACCGAAGACGAAAGAGAAGTGATGTTTTTGATTGATCCATCATCGGCCAATGATGAGATCAAGGAGTGTCACGACCCCGGTTAAGTCTAATTGAACCACAATGTCAAGCTAATGACTTGCAACAAGCGCTTAGTGGGAGGCAGTCCACTCGGTATTTTATCTATTTCCCTTTGACCTTTATTTTCTATTTCCATTGCTTTGTTTCTATTTTCATTTAATTTCAGGCTTTCAATAAGGAAGAACAAACACAAAAGACGAGCAGCACTCTCTAGCACGATAAGTTCTCTTAAACATTTCAACTTTTCTTTTTTCTTTACCATTCTTTCCAATATTTATCACACTGAAGACAGTGTGAAATAAAGTCTGGGGGATGATGTTCATCCGTTACTAATGAAATTTGACTTGTTTTGGACACATAAATTTTTTTTTTTTTTTTCAAAAAATCGTTTTCAAAATGTTTTCAAACCAGGAACACAATAAACAATACTATGATGAATTAGACCAGTGTGCTTCTACGCTATTTCCTCGTTTTTTGCTCTTTCTGTGATTTAGGCCTAGACTAGGCGGTAGCTAAGTACTTGCATTACGAAATCCCACCAGAGAACTTCTGTTCATGGAGATTCTTTCTGACAGGATATACTAGCAGATATATGCTACTGAGCTCATCGCAGGAAGTCTGCTTCGAATTTGAGAAATCTATGTGTTCTGCTGCGCAAGGTGTTTGTGCGACACTAGTGGTAGTGTCACTCGACACTAACGTTTCTCCAACTCGAAAAGCCTGCAGTTCTTCGTCAATTCTGCTCTGAAACTCAGTTTCTACATAGTAAACATTCTCTTCTGGCAGAAAATCATCTATGGGTACGTCCTCTTGAACCCTGATGCGTGAGAGATGGTCTGCGACTCCATTCTCTACTCCCTTCTTATCCTTGACCTCAATGTCGAATTCCTGAAGTAAGAGAACCCATCGCAGTAACCTTGGCTTCGCATCCTTCTTCTGCATCAAGTATTTGAGTGCAGAATGATATGTATGCACAATCACTTTCGATCCCACAAGATAGGGGTGAAATTTTTCAAATGCAAAGACCATAGCCAACAACTTTTTCACGGTGTTCGCGTAGTTCCTTTGAGCATCATCCAGGGTTCAACTGGCATAATAAACTACATGAAGTTTCATGTCTTTCTTCTGTCCCAGAACGGCTCCTACTGCGAAATCACTGGCATCACACATCACCTCAAAAGGCAAATTCTAGTCAGGAGGCTGCATAATAGGCGCGTTTATCAACGCCTGTTTGATCTGTTCGAAAGCAGCAAGACACTCATCTGTGAAATCAAATTTGACGTCCTTACACAGCAGAGCAGTAAGCGGTCTTACAATCTTGCTGAAATCCTTGATAAATCTCCGATATAACCCAACACGTCCCAAGAAACTCCTTACTGATTTTACAGAATCTGGTGGTTGCAAATTTGTTATAACGTCGATCTTCGCACAATCTACCTCAACCCCAGCTTCTGAAACTCTGAGCCCAAGAACTTGGATAGATTCTTTGCTGTCACAGAAGAAGTGGCCGATCATGTGGTCTCTACATGCTTTGGCAAATGAAATTCCTTTGGGCAGAGTCTGAACTACTTGATTGAACTCTTCAAGTGCTTCTTTTCTGATCTTGTTTGTGTAGTCACTGGCTTCTTGGGGATCTTTGAGATGGATCCTGTAAACAGCTGCATCAGGTGATGAACTAGGAAAAGATAGATATTTGGCTCTTCTGAAATAAGTGTAGATGTTCTCCTTAGTCTCCTTGCTGTATCTGAATAAAACTTGAAGGCAGCTTGCTTCCAGATGTCATCAAACCCATGGTAGAGAGGAATGGACTTCACAAACTTGTTGAATTCGATTAGTCTCTCTCTAGATATGCTCTTGGTTATTGGTTCTATGTTGTCATCAGATGAATCGTCCCCAAGGTTTGGATCTTTAACAAACAAACCATACTCTTCATCTTCTGAGAATTTCTCTTGAAGCTCATTGTCACAAGTGTAAACCATGTTGCAAGATGCATAAGTGTTGGATTCCTCCTTTTCTTTTGATGCTTGTGCAGTGATTGAGAAGACAGTTTGATCAAACAACCTAGGTCTGGTCAAAAGAGGTCAGATTTCTGATGAACAGACTTCAGGAAGAGGTTGGAAGCTCTCCCATTCTGAAGAATCATGCTCCACCCCGGGTAAGGAGCTCGGACCCGCGGTGGAAGTGACTCTGGCCGCGGGTGAAGTGCTCGCAGCCACGGTCAGCTTCCTCCGATTCTCCATGCTTGCTTCTTCAATCTCTTCTTCTCCATTGTTGTTCTCTTGCTTCCAGTGGTTGTCAGGCATGTCTTGGGTATCCAAATCATTGATTCCAGAGTTCAGATCATACTCTTTATGATCTTTAGAAAGTTTTTCAACTTTCTCTTCTACTTCATTTAAAGCATAGACAACTTTATCTAAAGTAGCATCAAGCTCTTCAGTCTTGTTTTCAACCTTTGCTACGCCTTGCCACAGCTTCAATATGTAGTTGTAGGTCTGGTTTTTTGCTCTAATTCAGTTCCTTATCCAAGTCATCGATCTTGAAAGTTAGGGTTTGCAGCTCCCTTTCATTTTTCCGAATGTTGAACTTGTTTTTTCCTGCTCTTCCCTGACAGACTCCATTCTCTGATCCAACACGTCATTACCTTTGGTTCTCTGATCCTCCAGTGTCTTCACGTGCTCAGAGAGGTCATCAAACCTATTGTTAAGGTTGATGGTTATGTCGTCTATCCTTGTTCGCAGGGCAGCATCGATGAGGGCTTGAGAGGCAAGGAACTGATTCAGCTTGGTTTGCAATCGATTAATCAGGATGTTAAGTCGATTGTTCTCATAGTTCTGGTGCAGAATCTGATGAGATTGTCGATGATTCACCAAGTGTGGCAAATAGGGCTCATCTTGATGGTGTGGAGGTCGCGAGTCTCCATGGTGGTGGTTCGTATGATCAGGACGAACTGGATGATTGGAATCACGCCTGGAAGACGATTCACATGCCCATGGAGCTTCACACAGGTTGCAAAACCTTCGCTAAGGGTTAGGGTTTCTTCTTCGATGATCCATGCTTCAAAGAATTCTGAAACTAGGGCAAACAGAAGAAAGAATAAGCACAAAAAGAAAAAAGGTTAGGGTGTTTAACGGTTTGGTTTACTTCGTATGTTGTTTTGGCAGAAACTTGACATATATATAGTCTTCTACGGCTTCAACCTCCCAGGTTTAGACCTCCAGCGACTAAGAACCTCTCCGGCAACGGCGCCAAAAACTTTAATTGGCTATTGGCCTAGGGTTGTTTTTCATACAAGCCCATTGGTCCATAAAGAAATTTTTAAATTTATAAAACCCTAGAATCTGAAAGTGCAGAGATGTACATTGTAGAACTTAGAGTGTCGATCCACAGAGAAGATGTCTAATCTGCAAGAAACAACAAACTGGGAAGTAAGCAAAGTCATAAACCAATAAAAGTTTTTGGGTTTTTGGTTAAAAATCCTAATCTAAACCTAATCTAATATTCACAAGAAATAACATGCAATGCAGGATGAATTTTTAAAAGAATATCTAAAGCATATCAACTCAAACTAAAGACTCTTAAACTTATAGGCATATCTTGGGTATCCAAATCATTGATTCCAGAGTTCAGATCATACTCTTTATGATCTTTAGAAAGTTTTTCAACTTTCTCTTCTACTTCATTTAAAGCATAGACAACTTTATCTAAAGTAGCATCAAGCTCTTCTGTCTTGTTTTCAACCTTTGCTACGCCTTGCCACAGCTTCAATGTGTAGTTGTAGGTCTGGTGTTTTGCTCTAATTCAGTTCCTTATCCAAGTCATCGATCTTGAAAGTTAGGGTTTGCAGCTCCCTTTCATTTTTCCGAATGTTGAACTTGTTTTTTCCTGCTCTTCCCTGACAAACTCCATTCTCTGATCCAACACGTCATTACCTTTGGTTCTCTGATCCTCCAGTGTCTTCACATGCTCAGAGAGGTCATCAAACCTTTTGTTAAGGTTGATGGTTATGTCGTCTATCCTTGTTCGCAGGGCAGCATCGATGAGGGCTTGAGAGGCAAGGAACTGATTCAGCTTGGTTTGCAATCGATTAATCAGGATGTTAAGTCGATTGTTCTCATAGTTCTGGTGCAGAATCTGATGAGATTGTCGATGATTAACCAAGTGTGCCAAATAGGGCTCATCTTGATAGTGTGGAGGTCGCGAGTCTCCATGGTGGTGGTACGGATGATCAGGACGAACTGGATGATTGGAATCACGCCTGGAAGACGATTCACATGCGCATGGAGCTTCACACAGGTTGCAAAACCTTCGCTAAGGGTTAGGGTTTCTTCTTCGATGATCCATGCTTCAAAGAATTCTGAAACTAGGGCAAACAGAAGAAAGAATAAGCACAAAAAGAAAAAAGGTTAGGGTGTTTATCAGTTTGGTTTACTTCGTATGTTGTTTTGGCAGAAACTTGAGATATATATATTCTTCTACGGCTTCAACCTCCCAGGTTTAGACCTCCAGCGACTAAGAACCTCCCCGGCAACGGCGCCAAAAACTTTGATTGGCTATGGGCCTAGGGTTGTTTTTCATACAAGCCCATTGGTCCATAAAGAAATTTTTAAATTTATAAAACCCTAGAATCTGAAAGTGAAGAGATGTACATTGTAGAACTTAGAGTGTCGATCCACAGGGAAGATGTCTAATCTGCAAGAAACAACAAACTGGGAAGTAAGCAAAGTCATAAACCAATAAAAGTTTTTGGGTTTTTGGTTAAAAATCCTAATCTAAACCTAATCTAATATTCACAAGAAATAACATGCAATGCAGGATGAATTTTTAAAAGAATATCTAAAGCATATCAACTCAAACTAAAGACTCTTAAACTTATAGGCATATCTTGGGTATCCAAATCATTGATTCCAGAGTTCAGATCATACTCTTTATGATCTTTAGAAAGTTTTTCAACTTTCTCTTCTACTTCATTTAAAGCATAGACAACTTTATCTAAAGTAGCATCAAGCTCTTCTGTCTTGTTTTCAACCTTTGCTACGCCTTGCCACAGCTTCAATGTGTAGTTGTAGGTCTGTTTTTTTGCTCTAATTCAGTTCCTTATCCAAGTCATCGATCTTGAAAGTTAGGGTTTGCAGCTCCCTTTCATTTTTCCGAATGTTGAACTTGTTTTTTCCTGCTCTTCCCTGACAGACTCCATTCTCTGATCCAACACGTCATTACCTTTGGTTCTCTGATCCTCCAGTGTTTTCACATGCTCAGAGAGGTCATCAAACCTTTTGTTAAGGTTGATGGTCATGTCGTCTATCCTTGTTCGCAGGGCAGCATCGATGAGGGCTTGAAAGGCAAGGAACTGATTCAGCTTGGTTTGCAATCGATTAATCAGGATGTTAAGTCGATTGTTCTCATAGTTCTAGTGTAGAATCTGATGAGATTGTCGATGATTCACCAAGTGTGGCAAATAGGGCTCATCTTGATGGTGTGGAGGTCGCGAGTCTCCATGGTGGTGGTTCGGATGATCAGGACGAACTGGATGATTGGAATCACGCCTGGAAGACGATTCACATGCGCATGGAGCTTCACACTGGTTGCAAAACCTTCGCTAAGGGTTAGGGTTTCTTCTTCGATGATCCATGCTTCAAAGAATTCTGAAACTAGGGCAAACAGAAGAAAGAATAAGCACAAAAAGAGAAAAGGTTAGGGTGTTTATCAGTTTGGTTTACTTCGTATGTTATTTTGGCATAAACTTGACATATATATAGTCTTCTACGGCTTCAACCTCCCAGGTTTAGACCTCCAGCGACTAAGACCCTCCCCGGCAACGGCGCCAAAAACGTTGATTGGCTATGGGCCTAGGGTTGTTTTTCATACAAGCCCATTGGTCCATAAAGAAATTTTTAAATTTATAAAACCCTAGAATCTGAAAGTGAAGAAATGTACATTGTAGAACTTAGAGTGTCGATCCACAGGGAAGATGTCTAATCTGCAAGAAACAACAAACTGAGAAGTAAGCAAAGTCATAAACCAATAAAAGTTTTTGGGTTTTTGGTTAAAAATCCTAATCTAAACCTAATCTAATATTCACAAGAAATAACATGCAATGCAGGATGAATTTTTAAAAGAATTTCTAAAGCATATCAACTCAAACTAAAGACTCTTAAACTTATAGGCATGTCTTGGGTATCCAAATCATTGATTCCAGAGTTCAGATCATACTCTTTATGATCTTTAGAAAGTTTTTTAACTTTCTCTTCTACTTCATTTAAAGCATAGACAACTTTATCTAAAGTAGCATCAAGCTCTTCTGTCTTGTTTTCAACCTTTGCTACGCCTTGCCACAGCTTCAATTTGTAGTTGTAGGTCTGGTTTTTTGCTCTAATTCAGTTCCTTATCCAAGTCATCGATCTTGAAAGTTAGGGTTTGCAGCTCCCTTTCATTTTTCCGAATGTTGAACTTGTTTTTTTCCTGCTCTTCCCTGACAGACTCCATTCTCTGATCCAACACATCATTCCCTTTGTGTT